TCACACTTCAGTGTGGTCCACAGACCCTAAGTGATCAGCCATTGCTTACCTCAGCATCTCCTTCCACTTGTACCCTTGCTCACAGAGCTCCAGCAATACTGGCATGTTTCCAGGTCCTCAAAAAGGCAAAGCTGTTTTACTTTGTTCCCTTAGTCTGGAAAACTATTTCCCTGTATCTTTTCATGGCTTGCTCTTTCACATCATTGCCTGCTCTCCTCAAAAACCATCCCCTAACCCCATCACTTTCCTCTCACCTCGGTTATTACTCACATGCACTTAGACTTCCCTGAATCTATCCAGTTTATCTTTTATGGTTTGTCATCTCCAATCAAAGGTACATTTTGGAAGGGTGAGGGCCTTGTCTTTGTTCAGTGTTGCTTTCCTAGAGCCTAGAATAAAATCAGGTAAAACGTATTTCACATAGGGATGAAAGAATAAAGCTTCACATAGAGCTTATCTTTATCTTTTATTTGGCTGCACTGTTTAAATTTCAGAAGGCATTAAAGTTAACAGCAATTCTGAATGTGGCTTTAAGATATGAAGTTTAAGAACCACATTATTTGGACACAATTTTTTCTCCTCTTTTTAAGTTTAACGACAAGCCCATAGAAAGTATAAACTTCCAAAGAGGTTTAAGTTACTTTTTGTAACACAGTCAAAATATTTTTAAACAAGTATTTACTTTAGCACTGATGAACTGTACTACTGAGGATATATGCACTCAGTATTAAGAAACTAATAGTGAAATAATGATCATTGATAAAAGTCAGTCCTATCCACCAGTCTAAGTCAACATTTGAAATTTTTATGTACTGCACAGAAATAGGTGAATCTTTTGCTAGGTAGGAATAGAAGAGCTGAAATGTCAGCCATTGACTATTCAGAGACCATGAAACCAAAGTTCAGAAATGTTAAAATCAAATCTTTTTAACTGTTCTTGTAATCTAAAATTAAGATAGAAAATTAAACAGTACATGATTTTTATAATTCCCCCACTTCTGGCAGACAGTTAAGCATAGGACATCAGAGCATAAACAATGTAAGGGAAATAAAGTGTAGAATTAATTGTATTTTCTCCCCTTTGGGAACTCACAATTCAGACAAAGTCCTTGTAGCCATTGTAGCTAGAGGAAGGTTTATTAGGGAAGGTTTCATGGAAACAGTAAAAGATGAAGCTCTAGTAATTAACAAAGGTATTAATGACAGAAATGAGGAAATTCTAAGAATTAAAGGTACAGATATGTGACAGTCTGAAAGTTATGGGGCAACCAAGTTCCCTTGATGGGTTACATTAGCGATTCTTAACCTACAATGCATAAGTTTCAAGGGAACCCAAGAACCAATGGAATGTATTGGTAAGTTTTATGTGTAATTTTCTAGGGAGAGGGTCAATGGCATTCATACGTTCAAAGGAGTCTGTGTTGCAAAGAGATTTATTTAAGAGTCGATGTTGTAAGTCCTTGGACAGTCAACTTCAAAAAGGTTGGGTTGAGAATGAAGACTTTCTAGATCAGGCTGATAGAATTTGTTCTTGCTTGAGGTTTTTGTAGAGGATGGGTAAACAGTAAATTTCAAGACCTGGTGTTGAGTTAGATATGAAAACTCAGAGAAAAACATCAAGGATAAAAAACAAGCTTCGTATTTGGGACAGTGCGTGTAGCCGGCTTTAGGCTTGGTGGAAGATGAACTAACTTTGGAGCATTTACAGGGAAATGGACACTTGAAAAAACAAGTCTACAGACAAGAGCTGGGAGTCACTATGCTAGTTTTAGCTAAAAGAATTAAGATTACTCTACCACTATTTGTAAACAATGAACTGAGTATTAGGAAACGTCAATATTTAAGGGGAAAGAGTACTATATGAGAAGTGACCGAGGCTGGAACAGCTTGGGGTCTAGCCCCAAAAAGGAATAGCTACATCAGTCATACCCCACAGAGATCAGGTGGAAGAAGTGATGAGATGCTTGCTTGTTAGTAGTTGAGAGGGAGGTGAAAAGGCGTAGACAAGTGCAGGCCAGTGGCAAGTCTTATCAAGATTTCATCTGCAGCAGATTCTTAACATTTTTGAGGACACAGATCTTTTGGTAAAAACTGTCCCCTTTTCATAAAATTGAACATATACATAAAATTTTACACGTAAGATTAATGGACTCATGGGCACTCTGACTAAAGTTTAATGATCTATAAAACCTTCAAGGCTGCATAATATAACAATGATTTCCAAATATGGTTTACAGACTGATGATGAACTGTGTACCTCTCAGTAACAACTGCTCCTATAGAAGTGAATTTTATTGGGCATACTCCTAGACTTAATACTATTACAAGAAACAAACTAGTTATGGTTATTAATGGAAGATTCCAGTTTCTGAAAATGATGGTAGGCTGGGAATTGTTAGTCTGGCTAAAATATGTATAATCAGAATTAAAAGAATTTTGACCTACAGATTCACAAAATCTTTCATTTGGAATGGCAAAGGTGACTGTACTTTTTTTCCCATTGGAAATTGCCCTGACACCCAACAGAGAAGTTCCCAAAAGTCTCTCCATGGCTTCCACATTGCCCTTCATCTTGTTTCATGCCTTTCCTACCCCTACCATCAATCTCAGCTTCTCTTAAAAAAGTAAAATCAAAACCATCATCATTATCTATAGCTAGAGATAAATACATCATTTTCTGATATACTGACTGAAAATAAACTGTGCCTTTAGAATTTTGTAAAGATCATAATATAAAAGAGGACTACATTGCTGTTAACTACCCTCTCTAAGATACTACCATTTTAACTTTCTAAAACTTATGGATTGAGATGTAGGAAGTCCAGTAGTAACTTAAGAGCTCTATAAGATGTTATTAGCATTTAAGAAATATAATTATACTGCCTACCTAATAATGATCATATAGTAAAAGATTAATTTTAAAATGTACTTATAGTAATTTCACTACTGATAAAGAAATATCAGTACACACATATTTCACTAACTGATGAATCTAGAAGCATTTATTCACTTATAAATTTTGTTTTCTCTGATTGATTTTAAATGTTTTGTCTTGATTTTTTTTTCTGCAGCTAAACCAGAGATTTACTGTTTTTCTTCTTAAACAATGTGATGATGTTGTTTCTTATAAATTGCCCTCTCTTATTTTCTTGTCAGCCTGCTTCAAGGAAATCCATGTGTTCAATACACTTGCTCGCAGCTTGGCCCATACCAAATGGTTGTTTAATCCAAATATCTGAGCAGCAAACTGAGCTGATCCTTCTGGAGAAAGTATGGTTGAACAGCCAAGACCTATTGGTTCAGAAAAGAAAAGACAGAAAATTGATGAAATACCACTTAACAAACTATTTTATACTCTTGGAAGCCCTGCTAGCTACAAACAATAAAAGCTACTATATTATCCTTGTCTAAAGTAGGATGTGTGGAAGGAATTTCCATCTTTACTATTAGAGTGATAAAGTAATTATAAGAGGCTAAGTAATATTTATCCACCGGGAACAGATATTTTATATACATCAACTATCATTCTCCTCACTGAATCCACTTGCAAAGAAATTTACTTTTTTCAAAGTTCTTTTCACATGGACTATCCCTTTAAATATCTGATGAAAGGCAACAGAAATAAAACAAAGAATGAGGTAAGTGGGTAGAAGCGAAGCATCTGTTCTTAGACAAACCTGAGGTATGTTAATTGTTCTGGTAATTTTCTAGTTATTCCTTTTGTCTCTGCACTTGAAGTATTCTAACATTTTTAAGCAGTGAAAAAGTCAAATCCATAAAATAATTCTAAGAATCAGGTTATAAATAAATTCAATAATAATATTTCAGTAATAAGATCTAAAAAAAAGAAAGTAACTTCTTGGGCACCACAGGTTTGCTCAAGGAGTTTCTTGAGGTGGTACCATTACGTCTTTGTCCCTAGAGTCAAGGACTAGCTAGCTTAGAATTCCAAAAGCTATATTTTCCCCAAACTCTTGGAATTCATCAGGCTTTCTGACTCTTACTATCCCCAGTAAGAACAGACTAAAGCAGAAATCACAAGGTTTATTTAATTTGTATTAATAAATCAATTTACATATAGCTGTACCACTTACTATGTAACTAACATCAGCCAAATTACTTAATTTTAGTATCCCTATCTGTAACATGGGAGTGATAACTAGTAGCTACCTTTTGTGAGGATTCAGTGAGTTACTGTATAAACAGAGTAAGTGCGTGGCACAGTGCCTGGCACACAGAGTAAGTACTCAGTGAATGTCAACCATTAGTATTATACTGGGTAGAGTGTTCCACTCTAGCAACTGAGATACCTGTGCCTGCTGCCCGGGACTCCCTTTCTGATATTAAGAAAGCTTAATTAGAAAAAAAATGAAGTTATCTGGGGAGCATGCCATAAGAGAAAGTTTTTAGGATTTTATATAGCCACTGTAAAACTGTTCCTCAAAAGATTATCCCCAATTCTACTGACCAGAATGTACAAATCTTCTAGATTCTGTCTCCCCTTGGATATTACTAGGTAAAAACTGCCAAATTTTTGCTCACCACATTCCTTTTTCTAAGCTCCATGGATAATAATACCTATGCCATTCGTCTGGAATAAATTTGGGTATAGCTTCATTTGTAGTTATAGATTTTTAACTTGCTGAAGCTGATATAATCAGATCTATCTAGTTAAAGATGGATTAGTCAAAAGATGTTTCTCTGAAACCTATAAAAACAACAGTAAAGGGAATAAGGAAATAGACAAACATACACGAACAAAGAGATAACAGCAATAACGTGGCAAATCGAGTAGTAACTAACTTAGCAAACCAAGAAAATTTAAACCTAAACTAGAAGCAGGGAAGATGAAAAGCTACCTGACATTAGAGAACTCACTCAAAGGTTGAGGAATTGGTGATACCAGATACCTTTGAGGGGAAGAGTGAGGGTGAAAATGGGGCTAAAAGGAACACTGAGTAGAAGTTGAACAGTAAGGCCATCAGATCCCCTTCCCTACTCTATGTATCTTAGCAGTGGCCCATTCTGCACCATGGCAGTTTTAAATTTTTCTGGAGGCAAAACACTTTAGTCCAGACTTCTGTGCCAACCAGGCACAGTTGAGGCAAGGAGTGCTACAGTGAAAACATGGGATTAAGTTTGCACACATTTGTTAAGATCGCCAGCTTCCAGAATACTGGCAGCCAAGTTCACTTCCTCAGGCAGAGACTGAGACTAGAAAGGTTCTCTGGGTAGTTCTGGCCAATACATGAGAAAAGACTGAAGACACTGATGTGGGGGGTTATTCAAAGAACAACCCTACAAGATCACCCCACAGTCGAGGCCACTTGTGACAAGCCCCACCCACTTGTAGAGCTTCCAGTTGGTTTTTACTATGCCCATTCTTTAAGAGCAAACAGCCAAGGCTCAGCAAACAGCTAAGGAAAGGAACCAATATGAAAGAAATAATAATAACCTCAGATTACTGAGAGGTTATTGCAAAGATTAAACAAGAAAAGGATGTCTGGGAGGGACGAGTAAGAAATTAAAAATACTGTACCCAATGAAAACTCAATGGAAGGGTTGGAATGTAAAGCTGAGGAAGTATTCCAGGAGGTATAGCAACAGGAATAAGAAAACAAAATAGAAATGAAGGAAGTTCAAATGTGAAAAATAAATTCAAAAATGAGAGAAGAAAGAAAGTGGAGGGGGAAGGAAATTATTAAGGAATTCAAGAAAATTTCCCAGTACTAAAGAATTGATGTTCCAGATTAAAAGAGCCAACTAAAATGCCAGGATGAAAACGGACTTACCAAGACACATCTTTGAGATTTAAGGACAATGGATTGAAAAGATCCTAAAAGCTTCCAGAAAGAAACACAATGCATAAAACAACCCAGAATCACCTATAGTGGAAGGGGACTGGAGTTTTCAATAACTCTGGAAGCTAGAAGACAGTGGAGTAAGCCCTCAAAATTCTGACAAAATAATTTTCAACCTTGAATTCGATTCCTAAATTATCAAATCAGTGTGAGCTACAATACAAACATTTTAGATATGTGAGGTCTCAGGAAGTTTATCTTCTATACCCTTTCCTCAGGGAGTTCACTAAGAATGCTTTCCAACAAAAAGTAAGCCAAGGCAGGCGAAGACGTGGGACCTAGGACACAAGAGATCCAATACTAGAGAAAGGCAAAATGAACATCCATGATGCTGAGAGCAGTGCAGCAGGCCTGGAGAGAAGCCAGTCCATATGGGAACAGGTCAGGGGGCACAGGTACATAACATACTCCACACATGAGCAGATTTACACTTACACGACTGAGAGAGAAGTTGGAGGTTTAAATAATAAGCAAATCAACTTCTACTAAAGTAATACAGTCATGACTCTTAGGACTTGTAGATCAGATCATTATCTTGGACTATGATGAGCATACCACAATATTGTTATTTTATGAGACTGCTCAGGCAGCCAACTGATGAAACTTCCTTGTGTTTTAATTATTCTAACCCCTAATTTTTTAAAAATTTCATTTCCTCTACAAAAGTAATACCACATTTACTTTAAAAAAAAAAACAAACAAAACTCAATATAATGAATGATGTATTCTTGGGTGGAAAAAAAGAAATCTGAACTTGAAATAACTACAGATCTTACCAGTAGTTTACAGAACATATAGGGGGTGGATGAGCATAGTAAACAACACCCAGGAATATAACCAACTAAATCCAAAATGTGGAAGATTCTATAGGACAAATGAAAGGAAAAAAAGGAAGGGGATTAAAAGAGACTTAAGAGATGTATCAATTAAATGCAGGGTAGGGGCTGTGTTGGATCTTAATTTGAACAAGCCAACTGTAAAAACAAATGAGATGACTGGAAAAATTTGAACCCTAACTGGAATTAAATGATTTTAAGAAATTACCATTAATTTTTCTTACGGTATCCTGATTATGGTTTTAAAACTATAAAGTATCACTTAGAAAAGCATACTTAAATATCTAAGTATAAAATGCTATAATGTCTCAGATCTGCTTTAAAATAATCCAGCAGGAAACTGGCTCTGTTGCACAATGGACAAGCGCGTTGGGCTTCTAAAATAATCCAGCAGGAGAGGGCTACAGATGCAACAAGATGTTAACTGCTGAAGCTGGATAATGGGTACATGAGATTTCATTGTTATATTCTCTCTACTATTGTGCTTGTTTGAAACTTTTTAATAATTTTTAGAAAGTCAGCGTATCTTACCACTGGGTAATCGAAGAGAAGACCACACATCTTGAGCTCCCCAGTCTGCAGTGAGAGGAGGACAGCTGATAACTGGATATGCAGTGTTACCAGACATCACTGGTCCTAAACCATTGCTTCTGCCTGCCACTGCCACAAATACAGTAGGAATGCCATCCCCTAGGGAAATTACAGGTTTATTATTAGGCTAAACATTCAAAAGAGATTTAAAGACGGGTTAAAAAAGAGGGGGGACCCATATGCAGTAACTCCTTGACTTCCTTTAATAGCAATCTGTAGAAAAAGCACTATATTAAGATAATATTGTTAGATATACATTCAAAATACAAGGTTCATTCTGCCACTTACTGTATGTATATCAAGTAATGAAGTAGCAAGAATAGGTTTGGCCATCTTTTGAGATCTATACTATAAAGAGGGTACCAAGGTGCTACTGAGGAAATGGCTCAAAGGCCCCTTCACTGCTGCTGCTTACACTCTGAGGCAAAGAATGACACCACCTGAACCAGCATCTGTCCTCATGTCCTTCAACCTACAGGATATGGGAGACAAGTTAATAGAGACTAGAGGTTTGGGGACACTTCTTGAAACAAGAATTGAAGAAATGAATTCAATAATATAGTACTCAAATATTTAAGGCCCTTTTATAAATATATATATATTTTTAACATATCTCATAAACATTTCATTTTTTCATAAATTATTTGTTTCCTACAGTAGAGATTCCTAACTGAGAATCCAAAATTTTATGTATCTGTATTTTTCTGTAGAAATAGTTCTGGCTTTTACTAGCTTATCATAGGGATCTGAGACCCACCCACCCACTCCTGCCCTGTGTCAGCCAACAAAACAAAATAAACCCAAACTCAATAATTATACTCCTATAGTAACTATCTTTAGAAGGAATACTCAACCAACATTTTTTTCTAGTTGAGAAACTTGGTTGTGTCTCCAGGGCTCCGTTATTTTAGATCTATGCTATCCCATCAAGCCACTTCTTTTATGAATTAAATTCTGCAATTATTCCTTAATTTCATGTTTGACTGCCTCCCAGAAAAGGACAGCCATTCAAGATACTTCAGAGGATCTGCTGCTTCAACCTCAGGTCTCCTGTAACTGCCGTGGGGCCTATTTTCTGTTGAAGAGTATTTGAAACAATGCTTGACGGGCTTCTTATTAGGTAAAGACTAATTCTAACTCTTTTATAAGCTCCAACAGCACCTTAAAGTTTTTGTAGGTAAATATCAAGAAAGTCTAGAATATCACATTTTTTCCCCTTGGAAATGGGGCAAAGCTATTTTTCAGCATTATTAGTCTAAATATATAATTTGGAGGCAAATCAGGAGAACTTATTGAAATGCTCTAGTTATTCGACATTCACCTTCATACTGAGCTTTAATCCTCAGAGTTTCATCTGGTCCTTTATGGGCAGATGTTACCCTAAGTTCACATGGAATGCCAAAATTTCCACAAGCCTTCTTAATTTTTTCACAGTGACTGAGATCAGAAGTTGAGCCCATCAATACTACAACTCTGCACTGACTTTTTGGTTTCAGAAGCAACTGGAAGAGAAAAACATGAATATGCAAAAGATGGTAAGGACAAATTTGGATAAATACAGGAATAAGTACCATAAAAATAGTCCGTTTACAGAGTTATAATTTATAGTAAAATTATAACTTGACAGAGTATTTTCTTTCTATTAAGACCAAATTTAAGAAAGAGACAAGCAGAACAAAATGATAGGTTTTATTTTTCAAGATAACCTCCATATATAAAGGAAAGTGGTCTTCATAATTAAGACCCCTAAAGAGTAAGATTATAAATCAGATAAATTATGTTTACTATTAACAAAAAGTATGTTTACTAAATTATATTTACTATCAACAGAAAATATGTTTACTATTAATAAAAAGCAATGATAAACACTCAAAACTTTTAATTAGTGTTCAGGGAGTTATAATATATTTTATCTAAGATTTTTAGTACATTCTGTTTAACAGAAGTTTTAAGGCATAATCAGCCAAAATAAAGGTCATGTTATAAATCTTTGTAAGCTAGTTGCTTGGAATTCAAAAGGCATGTTCCCATGGAAATGATGTCCTAAAAAGTAGTTACTACCTTGGATAACCACAAACCCTATTCAATGTCCATGGGATTATAGTAATAATAATACCATAAATATTAAACTGCCATTTTAATGTTGCATGGAGTTCCAATTCTGAACTCTGCTAATGGAACTCTGAGTAGCAGCGGACAGGTAGGTGGGAAATGTAAAGCTTCTCCTGCAAGGGGTAAGGAGAAAAGGATTCCAGGTTTCCCTAAAAGAACTTAGGAGAAGTGGCCTGGCCCATTTCACAAGAGGGTTCCAGGATGCCAGTGAGAACAGTTCAGCTGGTACATTTCTTAAAGGTGCCCCTTTAAAGTTATTGGAAAAAAGAAAAGCACAGAACCATCTTGCTTCTTCTCTTTTTGAAGCAAGATTTTCTTAGAGAAAAACACAATACAATATGGATTTATTACAAGGTTTACCTCTACTCTTTCTGCAACCCACTCAAAATTTTTCTTTACCATCTGCAGCCCTTCAGGAGTTACTTCCTTGAGGTCACGATATGACTAGAAAATAAAATAGAAAGTTTAGAATACTTCATGTGCATGACTTCTCCAGCCCCACCAAAAAAAAAGCAACCAGGTCTAATCAGCAGAGATGACTGATATGAGCCACCACTATAGAGACTCACTACCTCTCATCCAATTCCCAGACCTCAGTCAGTTTCTGACTAAAAAAGATATTGGGTATTCTGTTAGTAATATTTTTGCTATCTGAAGTTAATTTGGTTTTTGAGTTTTAGGTATAAATTATGAAGAGGTGGCATAGCAAAAGATCTACCTGTAAATGTATTCATTTCCTGAATTAGACAACAGAAAGTTCAGATAGTAATGTATAGTTAATTTCCATTTAAGGATAAGTGCTTTATACACTAGCAACTACAGTTAACTGCCCTGACAATTCTCATGTATTACGTAGAGAGGGTCTTGCCCTAATCTTGTTTTCCATAGGAAAGAACAGAAATGGAACCTCATAAGATCTGCATGACTTGAGACAGGGTTCCAGATCTGCCACTTACTTATATAATCGTGAAGACTTTTATCCTCTAAGAGCCTTAGTTTTCAATTAGCCCAACAAGGATAATACTGGCTCTGTGTAAGAGTCTGTTAAAATAAGCGAGAAATGTGCTTTGTAAAGTATTATTCCTATCTCTTTTTTCAGGATACAGGAAACGTGAGAAATACATGTTTAAAATTACACAGCAATCAACAATTCAGGTTCATATCATAAGGAACAACAACTGCCTTTTCTTTTCCTCCCGTCTTCCCTTTCTCCTCTATCCCAGCCTGATCTTACAAAGGATAAAAAAGAAAGAAAGAAAAAAAAAACCTGAAGCATTACCTACCTGTTTGTCTTTTTGTTGGCTTCGATCTCCTGAAGGCCAGAGTCTCCAGGAATCATTATCAATAACATCAGCAAGAACAATTTCTTTGGTGGTTATATCCACACCAAATTCAATCTAGAAACAGTACATCACCACAAGAGGTTTTCAAAACTATACTACTAAAGCCATTTCTCAGTTATAATCTTTACTTTCAAATCTCCATTTTATTTGTACCTTCATATCAACCAGCGTACAGTTCTGGGGCAACCAGGATTTCTCCAGTATTTCAAAGATAGCCTGTGTAGCATGACTCATGATATCCACTTCAGTCTGGCCTATAACAAGGCCAGCAAAGCAAAAATTTGCAGCCATTAGCTGTTCCTCAGACCACTGTGGATCATTATTGGCATCATCCTGAGAAAAAAGTATAGGAGAACAATTAATCTAAATATAAAAATTTTGAGCTTCACAGATAAATTGAATTGAGCATGAATTTCTGAGAGATATTCATCTTCTCTAAAAATTTAATTTTAAAAAATATATACTTTAATTCAAAGAAATCATTTTTTTAACTTTTCTACTTTCAATAGCTACCTTTAAAATATTTAGGTAACTTATTCTAGGTCATAAATTAGAATTTGCTGTCTCTATATAAATCATCATTTAAATACAAATTTGAAATTTTTAGTTTTCCTTAATCAAAGTCAATAGATTTGGTAAGGCAAAAACACATTTTAGTCCACCAAAATCTTTCCAGAATGCAACTTTCATAATCCCCTGACCTTATTTTTTATAAGTATTTATACAAGACTAGAAGTCTTCAGGGACATTACTTGACAATTCAAGAGAAAAATAAAGAGATTGGTGAGAAAATAAAAAACTTTTACTTTATTCTAAGTACTGTCCCAGTGAAAATTTTCTTTTATGGATTCTTTTTTTTTAAATAAACTACCTTCTTAAAATTTTTTTTACATATTATTTATTTTAATGAAAGTACTGGGGATTGAACTCAGGACCTTGTGCAAGCTAAGAACATGCTCTACCACTGAGCTACACTCACCCACTTTTATGGATTTTTTTTTAATTGAAGTATAGTTAGTTAATGTGTCAATTTCTGGAGTACAGCACGATGCTTCAGTCATATAGGAACATACATATATTCGTTTTCATATTCTTTTTCACCATAGGTTACTACAAGATATTGAATATAGTTCTCTGTGCTATACAGCATAAACTTGTTTATCTATGGATTCTTGATTTGACATTGCTTCTGAAATAGAAGAAATATGCCTAATATCATAAAGATGAACAGATAAAAGCAGTTTCAATAAAAATCAATACAAATTTGTAACTGTTGACTCCTATTTGCTTTATTATACTTTATATGTTTTTGCTTATAAGAGACATTAATACAGTTTCCTGTATTAGAATATAAAAAGATCCCTCATATTAGCCTTCACTTCAAATTCTTCAACAGATTTTAAAATTTATTGAATCGTTACTTTCCTTCCTAGTAACTGCTAATTTTAATTTGTTCATTTTATTAGTCATCTTGGTTCAAAGAAAGATAAGATTTTCACAGATGTTTTCTTTTAAAAATCTGAATTATCATTGCTAATGAAAGTAAACTTTTTTGACATATATTTCTGGAATGACAACTGCAGTATCAAAAGCTTTAATAATGTTTAAATCTTTTGACTTTTTACTAAACTGGTTGCTATGTTATAGTAAGACAGGGAGGCATAAAATAATTACCAAATAATTACCTTGAAAAACATCTCCACTTTAGGTGGGTAGAACTTATATCCTTCCTTGACACCAGGATTTCTTTTGAGAAAAGAACCAGTTGCTATTCTTCTACAAACCCATTCAATTGGAATCATTTCACACCTAGATGCAATGAAAGCTGTCTCCCCACATATTCTGGTGAAAGCAGTTTTGATACCTACATATTGATGACAAAAAGAAAAAAAAATTTTAAAGGTAGATCCAAGGCATAATAAAAGTCCACCCTTAAAACAAAACAAAAACCCTACCTAGCCAAATGCATTATCTTTAAACAGCACTACCAAAAAAAAAAAAAAAAGTAAAAAAAAAAAGGTAGAAGTAAGAAAACAAAATTATTAATATGGCTTTCTACTGCTTATCAAAATATTCAGGAATATTTCATTTCAATGTTGCATGGCAAAGTATATACTGGACCAAAAAAATCTGTATCCCAGTGTCTTTACCATCATTCATCCATTGGAAAAACAGAGTACCTCCTCTGCCAATGTACACATAACTTTGCACAAGGCGTATAACTAAGTGGCACCCAATTACCTCTGAATCAGACCTGGCTGCAGGATTCTCATATTCTAGGGTCCAGCATTATATGGGCCTTATAAAATATTAATCTACTTATCACAATCAGATACAGCCCTAAATTTTGGATAGCCCTTTTCTCTGAATATTTAAAGAAAATAATCCTTGAAAAAAGCATTCAATAGGTAGCAGCGGGAACAGTGGCCAGTTTGGCCAAGAGCAAAGAAAATATTTGTCCTTCCTCTCTCTTCTTACTTAAAATATTACTGAAAAACTGAGATAAAGAGCCGCCTTGTGATGTTTAGGATGGGAGCTATTTTATATGGTAGTCCTGGAAAATAATAATCTAATAATAGTTACAATGTATCATAAACCATATGACCCAGCAATTCCACTTCTAGGTATATATACAACATTGAAAGCAGGGAGTCAAACAGATATTTGTACATCATTGTTCACAGCAGCAACATTCATAATAGCCAAAAGAGGGAAACAACCCAAGTGTCCAACAACAGATGAGCAGAGTAGATAGACAAAATGTAGTAAATACATACAATGATTATTCAGTCATAAAAAAAGAAATTCTGATACAGGCTACAACATGGATGGTCCATGAAAACCTTATGCTAAGTGAAATAAAGGTTAAAAATTGTGTAATTTGACTTATACAAGGTACCTACAATAGACAAATTCATAGAGCCAGAAAGTAGAACAGAGGTTACCAGGAGAGTTACTGTTTAATGGGTCAGAGTTTCTGTTTGGGAGGATGAAAAAGTTCTGGAAATTGAGAATGGTGATTGATGGTTGCACAACACTATCAACGTACTTAAATGACACTGAATCATACATTTAAAAATGCTTAAAATGGTAAATTTTATGTATGTGTATTTTACCACAATTTGCAAGACCTACTTTAAGGCATTGTAAATTCATTTTCTTTTTGTTTAATCCTATTTATTTATGTTTGTTTGTAATACCTGATAAGATATGATAGTCATCCAACGAAACAGGTAAGAACAGAGACACAGCAGTTATGTCAGTAAGGATTAGGGAAAGCAGGCTTTCCAACCCACACTGTCTGAACTCTGTAGGCTGCTGACTTAACCACTATGCTATACTGTCTCTCCTAGAGGTGTTAATACATTACAGTACAAATACTATAGCATAAACATGGATTAAAATATCTTCTGGAAACCTGCATGGGCTGAACATATTAACGCCCATCTTCAGACTAAAATGTTAGTACCTCCGATCCCAATCTAATCCTCTAATAAGATCAATTTTTTTTTTAAATCAGGAAAGGATTGAAGATCTTTGATCTTCTGTGTGTACCCACACATAATGGGAACCTACATTTATGGAAACGTTGCTTCATGCTAAGTGTTCTACATGTTACTTTATTTAATCAAACATAAAATTTTTGAGGTAAGTACTATTATTTACATTTTGTAGTGAAAGAAATAGAGGCTCAAAGAAGTTAAGTAATTTAACAAGTTAGGTCATGCTGCCAATCAGTAAAAGAGCCTGGACCTGAAATGCACTATCTGGTTCTAAAACGTGTACTGTTTTCTCTGCATTCCCTCTGGGAAAGAATGTTAAAAACCTTTAGGTAAAATATTTAGGCCATTTTAACCTTTAATGAATGATTGGGCTCATGGGCAGACAGGAGATTTAAATCAATCCTTAATTTGAGGTGGTAACTACATGCCTGGCTTTAAGAGTGCTTCTTTTTTAGGACTGTTAATAGTCGTATCTGCTCACTTGTCTACCAAGCTCGACAGACTAGTATCCAAATTTATTGGTGAAATCCCCTCATTTTTCTCACTTGTTTACAAAATTCAAAACTTCTATCAAAGAGTGAAAATGTAAAAAAAAAAAAAAGAAGTGAAAATGTGTCACTTCATATTCTGAATTACAATGGCTGACAGTGACAGCTCATCAGCCCAGTTACCCCTGAGGCCGTCCCTGTATTAAGGTTGCCTAGCTCCCCATCTGTGGTTTAACACCTACAGGACTGTCAGTCATATCACTACCACCACAGCTAAACGTAATTAGAGTTGGTTTCTGTGTGGGAGGGCACTGAGACTTAAAAAGCTAAATTCTGATTTTTAACTATTGAGAATAAATCCAGGAACTTCAAAATTCAGGTACGGTACGTATATTATTTCCATGGAAAACAGTATTATCTATACCTGCTATCTGTATAGTCTTTTACAGTTTGCTCATGAGTGACAAAGAAAATTTGAATTCTGGTATATCGATTCTCATTCTGGTACTCTCCCCATTCAAATTTCTAGAAACACTTTCATTAGGAACACACCCCTGGTTATAAAGAAAGCTGTCTTAAATAGTCCACTGATGGTCAAGACATAGCATTTAACTATTAGCAAGTACAAATTACATGAGGCTTAATAGGACTCTTAATTGTATCATAAAATACTCTTAAGAATTTTTTTAAAAACTTAAGTTTTCCTTAATTTCACAGTATATAAAACCTGGAAAACATCTTTCAACACTTCCTGTGAACCAAGTAAGTTTTAGCTATGTTAAGTGTGACAAATAAAGATAATTGCTGGAGAAGTTCACTTGGGTAACCAACTTTCTCAGTTGAACGAAGGACTTTCAGAGTCAAAACTGGGAAAGTCCTGGACAGAGACAACTTGGATCATCCTAATTCACTTGTTCTTAAGCCCCAGCAAGTACACTGAATAAGTGCCTTATTAAACAAGCAAATAAAAACTTAAGCCTATATTTACCTTCCATTACTTGAAAGTGTATATATATTTTATTTTTTAATATATTTATTATTTTATATATATATACATATATAAAGCCCCATAGCTATGTATAATTACTATGAGAACACAAAAGATAATTTTTGTATTGTTAACTTACAGTGTTCAACAACTAAAAAAAAATTAATGTGTATGGGGAGGAGGTAACTTGTGAGGTTAACAAATGGATCAGTTGTATCTGTACTGCAAAAGAAAGCTAAAATTAGTTTGATGCTCTCTCTAGAAATCTCCTCGGTCATTGGGAAACTACCAATCCAGAAAGCCTTAAAGCAAAATCCTGGATAGTATTACTTAGGTACTGTGAGAAGTGCTTTAAATTTATAGCAATATATTTATCTTCAATGCATAGAGGAATTTATGATGTGGATGATAATTTAGGTTGGCAATTAAACAGTTTTTTTCATATTAATTTAAAAATGTGAAACAGGGTACTTTGGAAAAGGCAAAACTATTCAAGAACCCATTCTGTACTGACAAAATGGATTTAACTTGAACTACCTCGTTCTTTTGTGGAAAGCAGATACATCTATCTTGACTGGAAACAAAGGTATTAAATCCCCCTTTGGATTTAAGAAAGATTAATTCTTACTGGAAGATCTAGGAAATGAGAGGACAACTGGAGATACTGGAAGTAAAAGGAGATGAAGTTATTAAATTATAAAATTAGATCTGGGATGATAAAGAACAATGCTTTTATTTTACAGATGAGCAACTGGAGGCTTAAAAGGTTGAGTGACCTAAGGCACAAGGTCTCTTACAGTGGACAGGGAGCTGAAATCTTTTGCTGGCTGAGATTTTACATACTACAGACCAATCAGCTTTTGACTAAATCCCTGCAGAAAAATGGTTATCCTAATCCTCCTTTCACTCCAAGTACCTTCCACAAAATACTCTGATCTGAATTTCATCTTTCAAATAGATTTCTCTATTGGAAACAGTCTTCATTCAGTTTTAGAGTAGGAGGTAACCCTGGACATCTTTGATCTAGCCCAAATCCCTCACCTGGAGAATGGCAGGATGAGCAGATGTGATCTTCAACGACTTTTCAGGGGTTTCAAGTGGAAGAGGGATTTGAAATTCTGTATTATCTCCAAGGGGGTGGAGCAAATTTATATAGATTTACAGAGACTAAATTTCAATTCATCAATTAGAGCTGCCTAACACCAGAATGTGCTTCCTTCCTGCATGGGTAAGTCTCTCCTAGGAAGATGTCTCCTAGGAAGACTACAGCAAACTGTTAAGATTCTTTTTAACTAATCAAATGATACAACTTAGTAACTCCAAATCAAATAAAGTGTTACAGTGAAGTTTGAGTTCCTGGTTTGATTTAAATAAGCTTAGCATGAGAGACATCCCCAAACATGTTGTTAATCCAAACAGTACCATCTCCCCGTTAAAGAGATCAGAGCGGCGTATGCAAAAGGGAGGAGGCTGTAGGGGGAGCCACTCACCTGATTCCTGTAACAACTGAAAAATACAACTGGTAATTTTATTTGAGATTGCAGCTTTTCCTTCAAGGTGATTCTTTCTGGCTGCATTTCCTGCTGTAATCTGGTCCTTGGACTGCAGGAGGACTTTTCCTGGACTATCCAACAATTCATAGACTTCTTTTGTTTTGCCCTCATAGAGTTTTTTACCAACGTTCAAAACTGTGAAAATAACATGGAAACATCAGATTTTGGAAAAAAATTTCCTAAAGTTAATTTAGGAGACTAAGTTATCTGAAATGATGAATCAGTGAACATACAGAGTAATTAAATAATTTTAATAAAAATTAACTTATCTGCATAGAACCTTATACTCTACAAAGTATTTTCAATGCATCATCACATTTCATTCACATAATTTTGTGAAAAATTATAATTATGTAAATAATTATAGAGATTAGGAAACTAAGAGTCAAAAAGGTGGAGTCAAGGATGTTGCCTAGGTCAAATGAAAGGAAAAAGAACGGTTAGGAAATGGCAGGACTAGGAAAAACCCTAAATCTGGTATCTAATTCTGTGCTCTTCCCACTATCAACCTGCCTCATAGCAGAACTGAAGTAGAATTAGCTAAGATACATTAAAATTAATATAACTACACTAGTATTTTCATATATATACAATATACTCACAATACAATAACTAAACTAACTTGCTAGGGGAAAAAATGCTGTATTTTTCCAGACTTTGGCTTTCCATGGCAGGCAAAATGGCAAAGTTCAGCCAGAAGGTTTTCTTTCTTTTGGGGGGAGGGGGGTAATCAGGCTTATTTATTTATTTTTAATGGACATACTGGGGAATGAACCTAGGACCTCGTGCATGCTAGGCATGCACTCTACCATGAAATGGGTTTCTTGATTTCCAGTTAATGTGCAAGAGGAGACACCTCCACTCACTGAAGTTAGACCATTTGGAAGCCCTTCTATTTTTCTAATCATGCTTTCTTACCCCCTACCCTTCATCTCCTCTCCTCACTGTTACAGAAAACCATGAGAAGAGAACCTAATTTTGATGCAGGTCATGAGATGCAAAAAGTCGACCCTAGTCATTAGAAAGAATGATTTAGACGAAGATCAGAGATAATAGGAGTTTAGGAACTTGACATAAAATTTCCAAAAGGAGAAATTACCCCTCATGCTCCCAGAATACTGACTCATTCTCAGCATGTTTTAGTGCCCATGTGCCAGGTACTAGGGATGTACCAATAAATAAGACCCAGTTCCTGCTCTTAAGTGACCTGAGTCTGAGGGAAGCTGAAATTTAACAAGATATCATATCAAGTATAACGTGAGAAGTACACAGACTTTGGGATCACAGGTTCATAGCAGGACCACTTAACCTAACCTCTGATGTCTAGACATCAGAGAAGGAAGTCTAGAACTAAGTGAGGATTAGGTTGAGATGTGAAGAATGATCAAAATTTAGCCAGAAGAGGGAAAGGGGTAGGTACTGGTGGTGAAAAAAGACCATGGGGTTAAGAGTACATGACAGAACTTCAGTATGTGTGGAGCACTGTGTGTGTGTATACACTGTGTTGGGCAGGGAAGGGAGGGCAGGGGCACCAGCTAAGGAGAAGAAAGGAAGGCCAGGAGATAACACTGAAGGACTGGGCAGGGGTCATATCACCAGTTAGTGAAGGTAACCATTAAACACAACAGTTACAATTCAGTTTGATAGTTGCCACTGCAGGGTACCTTATTTACAGGATAAATCCCCATCCCCCTTGACTCACTGATACGGTTTTGAAGGTCCTTCAAAGATACAGGCTTGGCTTAGTGCTCCAAACTAAGATTTCTCTATTCCCTTCCTAGAACCCCAACTTCATAACTGAACCTCTATTTCCCCCTCCTGCTTAGGCTTCCCGACATGCTCTTCCCTGGGCTTGGGGCACTGTTTCCTTCCCTTCCATTTCACTACTCATCCTTCAGGTCTCATAAGCCGCCACGTTAAGACTTAAGTTTAGACTTTCTCATAATAACAGGCTTTTAAGCACGTCAATAAAATGACAGGTTTCTATATTAGAAAGATCATTATAGCTACTTTGTGGAGAATGAAATGAGGAAAAGGTGAAGTGGAAGAAAACTAGAGACTGTGAGGACAGTTAGGATGCTGTGGCAGCAATCCAGGCAAGAAATATCCTGGTCTAAGGAAAAAGCAGTGAAATAGGACAACATACTTAAAAGGTAAAAGTTTTCATAACAATTGATTCAATATGGTGGACTGGGGAAGGGAAAGTCAAGGATGTTGCCTAGGTCAGATGAAAGGAAAAAGAAAGTTTGTACCAATGGCCCCTCCCTCCCAGTTTAGCTGATAGGTATTTATTACCTAATCATTAAAGAGGGCAGGAATTTCAACTAATGGACAGAAATAACATAAGATAATATCATAGGAGACATATGCTACAAGTGCCAAAATGCCTGCTACAAAATCACAGATGAATTCAGAAGAGATCGATGAGAACTGAGAAAATTCATGAAACTGGAAATTTACAAGTACTTTTCAGTACTTAATTTCCACACATAAGAGTTAAGAACATCTAGGACTGTGCTGTCCAATATGGTAGCCACTAGCCACATGTGACCATGAAATATTTGAAATGTGCCTACTCCAAACTGAGATGTAAGTTAAGTCACAACACACAATGGATTTCAATGTGAAGAAAAAGCCTGCAAAAATCACAAATTTTTTTATAGTGATTACATGTTGAAATACTATTTTGGATACACTGGGTTAAATAAAATAACATTGAAATTCATTTCACCTGTTTCTTTTTACATTTTAAAATGTGGCTACTAGAAAACACAGTTACATATAGTGTCACATTATATTCCTACTAGGCAGCATTGTGCTAGAAGAATCAGCATAAAGAAACATAGAAGAGTAAACATGGTGAATTAACCTGACTGGAAGGTAGGCTTAGGTAGGGTTCACAAGAGAGAAAAATCAAAGTTAGAGTTGAAGAGGTAGAAAGCAGTACACAGGATGTGAATGAAAGATTCTTCAGACTGGATTTTAATAACTTTTGAGTTGCCAGCGAACATTTTTGGGCAAGGAAGTGCTACTGAGAAACCATAAACGTGACAGTTCTGAAAAATTAGCCTGCCCAAAAAATTTTACATGGAAGGAATGGAAGAGCAAAGATTTTAGAGGTCTACAAGTTTAGGGGTACGGCAAAGAAAATTCTGGTCTAACGTCTTGACTTTATGGAGCTGTTACTTATCATCAGGATCTTTTTATTTAGTCTATAGTTTTCTACCTAAATTCAATTTTTCTATGTGGAAGAGAATGTACTGACCAGCCAACACAAGGAATTTGGTTCACCATAAATTTTAAAATAGGGTATTGGGGGAAAAAACCCCAACGTTTTTTCAGCAAAAATATCACAAGCGACCTCTCCCAAGGATCCTAATCACTCGTGGACAAAAATGATTATTTAAATATGTGATATGATAAATACAAAGTGAAGCAAGAACACATTTTTGCCTAGTAGTTTTGAAACTCTCTAAAGCCATCACTGGCATCAAAAGACTGAAAAACACACACAAAATTTTGACAGAAAATAGCAAAGTTTTCAGAAGAGTCAATTATTAACTTTCTAGGATAGTAGGTTATTATTAACGTAACGGGAAAAATCAAGACTTTAGTTTGAAGAGTAAACACCAGAAGTTCCTGTGATTGTTTTGCAATATCTATTGATTGCAAATGCGATTTCCAGGCACCTCTCCAACCCCTGGACATTTCTCGTTCTAATTACCCTTTGCTCCTTTTCCCCATCCCAAAGGCAGTTTGGGGTGTTTCGGAAAGTTCGGACGCTCGAGAGCGCTTTGTTTCCAACGCACGGCTCGGCAACGCCCGGGCCACGTGCCCGCCCGCCCAGCAGCCTAGAAGGGCGGGGTGCAGGGAAACCGGGGAAGGCCGCTGTCGGGGCAGCAGAGCGCGCACGTGTCCACGTCTAGCCCTCGAGCTCAAGGCGGCGGGAGGGAAGACCGTGGAGGGCAGGGAGTCCCCGGCGGACTCCGGGGGACGCCTCTACTCACCCTCAGCGGTCGCCATTGTCCGGAGTGGGCTGGGGGCGGCGGCCGCGCTCGGAACAGAGGCGGGACTCTGGAAAAGAGGAGTGATCAGAGAGGCTCACGGGGCGGGGAAGGGAGGTGCGGCCCACAGACACGCCCCCGGCGGGCTGCGTGACCCAGAGCGCCCCCTCGCAGCCTCGTTGAGCACCACCTCAGCGACGGAACCGCGGGGGTCTCTGCGGACCTTGAGGAACTTCGACTCAAGGAGCAGGCGACTTGCCCGAGGCTTCCCGCCGCGCAGGCGCAGCGACGCGGACCGTGCCCCTCCCCGTGCAGGCGCTGTTCCAGCAGAAAGGAAAAGTGGCGCGCACTGGCGGCCCCTCCCCACCCTGCGGCAGCTCGCTGACCAGCCCCCTCCTCTGCAAAGAGAGCGGTTCATAGGTTGGAGTATACCAAGTAGTGACGGCCGGGGGAAAGTATGTGCGGAGGGGACATGCAAAGTTCACATCCTCTGGTAGAGAAATGACTTTAACCCCTGTAGTCTCATCACCCAGTCTTGGGTGCTGGAATATAACGAAGATTTCCACGTGCAGAAAAATTAGCTGCCCGCAGGGACAGGTGGAGGCCTAGCTCCACCCCCACAGAACCTTGACCCCGCCCCTCATCCGCGGAGCCTCTCCCTCCGTTCTTGCTCATTGGTGGGCTCGCGGGGGCGGGGCAGGGGGCGGGGGGCGAGCTAATCACTCTTACTTCGGGAAAGCAAGCGCCGCCGCAGTAGCGAGGGTCCTGCCACCGTAGAGGGAGCGGCTGCAGCTGGCGCAAGTGTCTGAGGCTTCCAGGCCGAGCGGGCAGCTGGTTGGTGCTTAGACCCCTGCCGCCGCGGCGGGTCCCTCCACGTGCTTTCGGCGGCGACATGGAGCTGGAAGAGTCGGGGATCCGAGAGGAATGTGGCGTGTTTGGGTGCATCGCCTCAGGAGAGTGGCCCACGCAGCTGGATGTACCGCATGTGATCACTCTGGGACTCGTGGGGCTGCAGCACCGGTGAGCAGCTGGGCGAGGGGTGGGGATGGCGGCGCGTGTGCTTCTCTGCCTGAGCCTCTTCCCGAGGCCCGAGTTGGTGATCTCGCGGATGCCTGAGGACCGGAGGCCGGACCTCTCTTTCTTTCCTGGACCGGCATCTGCTTGTGGCATCCACCAGGTTGTCAAGGCTTGCGCGGGTGCTTCCTTGTCCCCCTAGACTTCACTGGGTTTCCCGCAACCCTTAATGCTCTTTAAGGGCTCTCCCCTTTCTTCCAGGGTTGCGTACCCTTCTTGGGTCTAACCAGTTTGTAAGGCTTCTGTTCGCTTGGACTAGTCCGATTGGGTTCCTCCCCGGCTGCTTGCGGGTTTTAATTTCCCAGAGCCTGGAGATGCTGATAGGATTGTGTGGAGTGACTGCTGGTCCGGGACCTACAAGACCCTCAGGTTTCGCGCGGAGCCTCCAACCACCACAAGCTTTTGTTTGCCAGGGCAGAGCTATAGAGCAGATTGTGTATTTGAACGTTGCCGCAGCTATGGGAACTTAGGGATTCAAACCCGGGAAAACAGGGTTAGTTGGTGTTCAAGAGGAACTACCCGCTACAGCTCTCATTTGAATTAACTGAGAACAATCCAATCACAAGGAATAGTGCATGTGCAAAAGATTCATTGGTAAACGTTTTAGACAGTGAATAAAAAGGCTGGCAGTAAGAAAACGCTAAAATAACTTGCTTCTTTACAAGAAAGAGGAGGGCAGTTCTTATATGGCAAGATACACATTGATTTTGAAAAACTCATAGATCCCTTTGAGTTAAAAAGTAACTTTGCTTCTGTGATCTTTCCAATTCTTACTAACTATAGGTTGATATAAACACTCTGATTAAGGAATATAAACCTAGGTTTAACATTTATCAGTGAACGTATTACAAAAGTTCTATAAGGCAATATCTCAGCAACAACTTCTAGAACAGTTAAGAAACTTGGCAGTAACACTTAGCAGCAGTATGGGAGCGATAAGTATGCATTCCAAATGATTAGCTTTCCCTCACCAAACGTAAAATAGAAGTAGTGTTTTTGCTTAACTATTTATTTTTTAGCTAAATAACTCAAAAGTTCATCCTAAGCTCTCTTCTTTAAATGTGTGCATGAAGAAAAGGGATGATTTTTGGGGGGTTTTTTTGTTTGTTTCTTTTTTTAATGAATACAACTTTATTCCTAGTTACATACACTTTCCTACAGTTGCTTTTAAGTGAAAGAATTACAAGCTAAAGGCAATAAAATAAAATTAAAATGTGATTACTTTATGAATAGAGAAAATTAAATGGATTCTATCAGGCTGCTTATTTGACCAAACAACTATTTGTTAAACTGTGGTATTGAAAATTGACCTTGTGATATTTTCAGTAACAATGGCAAGAAATAGGTAGCTTTGGGGGAACAAAGATATTAATGGAAAACAGATTTTCCTTGTGTAGACATAGAATCATTAAGGTTCACTGAGAGGTCTGGTTCTTGCTCATAATCTTTTCCAGTTCAAAACTGTAAAATTAGCAAAAGTCCTCACCCTTTAGGGGAACAGATTCTGATTCTAAGAACATTAAACTTCCTTATGTCTGGAAGATAAAATCTTCTGCTACTCTAAACCGGTAGGTAGGGATCAAAGATTAAGAAATAATGTTTTTATATGGCATTGAATGAAGGACGGTCAAAACTGGAAGGCTAGATAGGTTGTCATAACTTAATACAGTTATATACAGTGTACTGTCAAGTGGTGGTCCTTTGCAGAAGACTCTTTACCGCCTTAACCCAATCCGCTCAATGGTTAGTTTTAAAACAACAAGATTCTGTTGATTTCCCCTCCCTTTTTGATGAAAGAATTTATCACTTATACATTATCTTCCTAAACATGGGATCTAGAAGATGAAATTTCTATCACTTTTGCATTGTATTTGGTTCTGTCTTTATCTTAGCCATAATCTGACCTAAACAAATTTAGTCTTAGGGATAACAGAGTAGCTGAAAATTGTAATATGTATTTTATATATGAAAGCAAATCAGTTGCTATACAGTCATGCACTGGACAATTAATCCAGATGGGCTCACCCAGAAGTACTTCTTTTTAGTAGTCTGGCTATTTGCAAGTTTATTCCATAGCTCTACTTTCTGTCAGGAGGAATTTTCAGTTTTAAACTAACTAGTTGTCGTATTCAGCTGTGAGCTGTGTGTGCGGGCTTGTTCACACCAGATTCATATAATCACCAAGTGGTTTTTCTGTCCAGAAAACATTAGTTCAGTGGTTTGCAGGATTCTGGACAAACCACACCACCCACCCTCCCTAGATCAGAAATCTTCATCTTTAAACCACAGTGACATTTTATGGAGACTAGAATGACATGGATGTATTTGAAGACTCCCTAAAAGGAATTACTAAAATTTCATAGATTTATCCCATGAACCAACTAGTTAGCCTTTCCTTGGTTAGTTAGGAGATGAAAATGTCCTTCAGTGAATTATCACTTCCTTGGGTGAGGAACTGAACCCTACAACTAACTGATAACCATTTTCATACCTCTTCTAAAAATTTATGAGATTTACCTGATGAAGTCGGGTCATGTAGGGGGTTTCCTGTCTGCAAAAACATCCTGTAGAATCTTTTGGTTCTGTTGTTCTTTGAGGAAACCGATTTGCAGTGATCTCAGGAGCAGTTTTCTTGGGAGACACAGACTCTGGTTCTGCAAACAGAGTATATAAAATTATCACAGGAAAGCAGTTGTGAGACTCACCAACCTATGGAATTAGTTCCCAGTGATCTTCATTTAGTTTGTTAGAGAACACATGAGTAGCTTATCAGAGAACTTGCTTTGAGTTGCTAAATTAAGGCTGGGGTTAACTTTTTGGACTTTTATCTCTTAGAAATAATGACCAAACATGTTACATTCCTATAGTGTTTTACATTCCCTTGGTTGGAAAAGTGACTTATCCCCAAGAGTCTCAAAGTACTCCTGCTTTGTCATTCTGGTCAGTACTGGGAACAGCTCTTTCACATAGGACTTGAAATCTAGTGCCAAGATTCCTAGTAACATCAGTTTGATCCTGGGGAAGTCTTCTAATTTCTGAGTCTGTTTTCTCACCTGCTGGGCTATACTTATATATTTAAAGGTCCAGTGCACAGAGTCAGTGGATTGGGAGTGATCATTTTTGTGATTAATCTATAGCAATTTCCCTTTGCAGTGGCATAGATAATAAAGAGCATTAAGACAAAGCAAAGATGGGGCAACTCATTTGTAATTAGTGTCCAAAAATGGAGAAAATTTTTCAGCTCACTTGAGATATAAGGGTTGTCAGGTAGGGTTGAGGGGCAGTGGATTCCTGCTATTCTCTAATACTTAACTCAAAAAAGATCTGTTGAGCTCCTGCTGTGTATGTGCAAGGTGCCATGGTAGACACTAGGAATTCTGTACCACACAGGGCTGATGTGATCCCTGCCTCTCACATAGAGGCACTGGAGCAACTGTTTTGACAGCATAGACTTCTTAATGCCTCTATTTCCTCCTTTTTAAACTGAGGATAATGACAGCATGTATCTCAAAGAGTTGTGGTGGAGATTAAATGCATTAATATATGTAAAGTGCTTAGAACAGTAGCTGAATATATGCATACCCCATGACCCAGCATCCCACTCCTGGGTGTCTACTCAACAAAGATGCATACATATGTTTATTGGAAGACATGCACAAGAATTTTTATAGCAGCATTATTCATCATGGCCCCAATCTGGAAGCATAGGAAATGTCCAGCAGTGGAGTGGATAAAGGATGTATGTTCCTATAATGGAATATTCTATAGCAATAAAAAAAGAACGAACTCCTTCTACAAGTAAAATCATGGATGAATCTTACAATGCTATGTGAAAGAATCTTGACATTAAAAAGTACATGCTAAAGAAAAAAAACATTGTATGATTCTAAAGCTAATCTGTGGTGACAGAAGTCAGAATATGGATAACCTTTATGGGGGCCAGAAGGATGATTAATGACTGGGAGGCCACGAGGGTGCTGCTTATGTTTCAGTTCTTGAGTTGAATGGTGGTTACACAGGTGTCTTCACTTTGTAAAAGTTGAGCTCTTCAACTATTGATGTGAATACAAAACAATTCGATAAATTATATTATAGATCTATAAAATGCTAAAGTTGGATTATCTTAGAGATCCAGAGAGATGCAGTCAAGATGCTGCATGTTGAGTTTTTTGGGTCAGTGAGAGACTAGAACTCAGGTTTTCTGATTTCTGAGTTGAGTGTTTTTTCTTATATTCTACATTTTTCTTTATGCTACATTATATTACCTTTTCTGATGCTTATAATGGGTCAGTTGAGAATTTCAGCTCATATAATTAGTTGGCTTCTGAGTTTGGCTTATTTCTAGAATTATTAAAATGTTACACCCATTGCTAACTACCTTTGGAGAAAACCAAATTCAGAACTTACTAGCTTGTGGGGATTTTTCCTTTTACATCCTAGTCTTCTGATAGCAGTCTCTGAAAAGTGTAAATAATTAAAGGCTCATGATAAATGGATAGTTGTGCAGAAATTTCTGATCTGGGAAAGTTTCCATTTACTTTGTTACTTTTCAATCTTAATGAACTAGGAAAGAAATCATTTTTCAGCATTTTTGGCTTTCACACAGCTCATAAACAGTAAAGTCTAATTTGTCAAGGACAGCAATAAATGTCTCTGTTATCAGGAAAAAGCTACAGAAATTTTTCTCAATATGGAAAAACTTGGCATTTCTCAGACTCTTACCATCTTCATGTGCTTTTCTTTTGATGCTCAAAGTTCTTGAGTTTTTGGTACGACCTTCAAATAATTCTTAAATAAAAGAACATAGGAATCATTATATGACATCATCTAAAATACATTAGTCTTCGAGCATTCAAGTACACTAAAGTTAGAACACTTAAGCAATTGGACAGATGAAAAATGAGTTTAAGAGTTAGGAATATTTTGGTACAAGGTTTGAAAAGAAATTGAAATTCTTGATTGTATTAGCTATGTGATTTATAATAATTTGGGGGATCATTTGAACATAAAATAGTGTTAGGAATTTATTATTGAAGAATTTCTTGCTAAGTTAAATGCAAAGAGAGAAGTTCATAGAATTTTTATTTAAAAAGGTTAATTCCAAAGTTACCATGTTTCCATTTGGTAGTTCTGAGAGATGATCGTCTTAGGAGGCCATCAACTTCTTCATAAAATCTCATTTTTCCTTGAGGGTTGCCGTTTTTCTTTTGTAAAACTCTGTACTCATATTTTAAATTTTTGTATTTGGTACGACATTGTTTCCAGTCTCTGTCTATTCCAAACTGCATTAATCTTCTGGCAACTTCCTCAAATATTTCTCTGTTTCTTGTGGCCCCTTCAAGCATTTGCTTAATTTTTTCATCAGACCATATGTGTATGAGTGCTCTGACCTCATTGTCACACCAGTGTCTTCCAGCCTCTGTGTCGCTCACTGTTATAATCTGTAAATGACTTTTAGCATCTTCTAAAGGAATATGACTACCTGTAAACCAACGTTATTTACAATTATTCAGATTTAGAGATACATCTTAGAGATTATTTAGACTTAGAGATGCATCTTAGAGGTATTTGAACATCATTCATTAAAACAACCTGAACTGACGTAAAGCACTGAGAATTACAATCATTTCAATATGAGGGTCAAATTTTTTCCCATACATTCATATTCAAATAAAATAAATATGTATTTAAACTATAAGGCAGACTAGTCCCCAGTATTAGTGGGAATAGTTTAGCTGCTTTTTATTAATATGTACTCTGCACTGGATATTTATGAATACAGAGTCTTGGTATTTACTAAATTTTTTTTTGTAAGAAGTAGAAATAGACAGTTTCTTTCCTCCCCTACCACATTCTCTACCAACTCAGGTATAATGAGGCATTTGGGATAATACATAATAGAGATCTTTCCTATAACTATTTATACTGGTGTATGTTAGAATTTAAACATCAACAGCATTAAAAATAGAACAATTTAGACCCGTTACCTGACCCAGTGATACTCTGTGGTGCTATGGGGCCGCCCACCTCTTCTGAGGCAGTACTTACAGTGTTTTCCTCTGTCAAAAAACAAAGAGAAAATCTATTTAAATTTGTTGTTCACAGAAGCCTAACCTACTTTTGCGATTGAAGATTATGCTGAAAAAAGTAGTAAGGCTGGATCCCAAGATCAAAACTGTAACCTCAAAGCCAAGAACATTTGCCATCTCGAACCAGATTTTAAATGGCATTGTAGGATTCACTACCAACCAAAATATTGGAAGTACTCTGCCCTAAAAGTGATGAGACCATATGCTCTATTTGGGAGTATGAAAGTGCTTTGTGACTCATTTTGGTAATATCTTTCATTGTTACATTTTAATGCTTGACAGAGAGCTCTTAGAACTCCTTTTTCATTTGATCCCCATTGTAACTAATTACTGCAATACATACAAAGGAATAAAAGACCCTGAGATTAAATGGTTTGAGCAGTTTTCACATTGAGATGTTAACAGCAGACAGATGATAAACATTTTAAGGAACTTAAAATGGTTAACCTGGCAAATATAACAGTGATTTATTCTAGTGGGGCAGTATATGAATAGAATGTCAGCTGTCTGTAATTTGGGGAAAGCACCTCCTCTTATGCATATGTTGGATTGCTGTGTTGAAGTATAGCAGTGCTGTGATAGTCTTCTTTTATCTCAGCTGTACTTTCCTATACACTGGGACTTTTAAAAAAAATCCTGTGACTAAATATAGGTGTCTATGCAGTTGCCTGTAATGATTATTGTAAAATTAGACAATGATTTGTACTAATAGACATGTGAAGCAAAAGGTGGTTAGAGGGCAGTAAGCATATGCAGCAATGAGTGGAGATTTACGACAAGATAGGACCAGATCTTCTTATTGAGGACGTGTTTGGACCATGAGACTAGGCTGAAGTTTAGCCCCCTAGCAATGTCAAGATCTCAAATGACAGGTTGTATTCTGGAGCCACCTAACAAGCTACTTTTTTTTTAATTGTAAGTTTTATTGAGATAAGTGTAGATTTCACATGCAGTTGTAAGAAATAATAGATATCCTTTCTACACTTTGCCTAGTTTTCTCCGATGGTAACATTTTATAAAACCATATATACTATTAAATCAAGGATACTGGAATTGTTACAATCCACCACTCTGATTCAGATTTCCCCAGGTTTCCTTGTACTCTTTTGTGAACATGTGTGTGTGTGCTTGCATGTGTGTATTAAGTTCTGTAATAATTTTGTCACTTATGTAGTTACGTGTCTTTTTTTTTTTTTTAATGGAGGTACTGGGGATTGAACACAGGATCTCATGCATGCTAAGCATGTGCTCTGCCACTGAGCTATATCCACCCTGTGCTATGTGTCTACCATCAGGGTCAAGATACTCAACAGTTCCAACATCATAAGGATCCCTCTGGTTGCCCTTTTATAACTAAACCCACCACCTCCTTCTGTGCCCAAACCCCTCCCCAACCCTTGCCCCGCTGGCTACTTTTTAGAGAGGACAAGTCCAAGGTAAACTTTAAACCCAAGTTTCATTTCAGCAAAATATGAGTTTGTAACATTTTACTTAAGTGACTAAAACTGTCACTTCTTAGGCTCAGGCACATGCCCTACTTCTGGGAAATAGGAACATTTAGGGAGATATTAGGTATTATGTAGAAATTTTGAGTAATTAGTCCTGGAAAATAAGATGTCGTAGGAGGGGGCAGAAATCCCTAAATTTAGTAGCTTTTAAGGAAAGAGGAGCTTTTAGTCTCTTATGTTTCCACCCCAACTTTGTGCACAGCAATTCAATCTGACACTAACCCACAGTTAACATCAGATTCCGAAGCTTTCGAAGCTTTAAGGGCTGACTGGCTTCAAATTCAGGAGGGGCCATGACTTTCTCAGGTTTAATAATTTGCCAGAACAACTCATAGAATTTAGGAAAGTGCTGTATTTAGGATTACAGTTTCATTGTAAAAGACAGAACTCAGAAACTGCCGAATGAAGAGATACCCAGGGCAAGGTCTAGGAGGGTCCCAGGTGCAGGGCGTGTCACCCTCCTAGCACATCAATGTGTTCAACCAGGAAGCTCCTCTGAGCCAGAGTTTTTATCGACATGATCGATTATGGCATGATTAGTTAAATCATTGGCCACATGATTGAACTCAGTCTCCAAACTCACTCCCCTGCTGGAGATCAGGCTGACCCTAAATTCCAGCTCTGATCACAAGAGTGGTTTTTCTGGTGACCATCCTGAAGCTATCTAGAAACCCACCTTGAATCACCTCATTAGAATAAATTAACAAGTTGCCTATATTTAAATTTATCTGCATACCTATGTCTGAGCTTTTCTTAATTTATAATATTTTTAGAAGTTCTAACATTGTGTTTCATTTGACTACATTAGTTTGTCTAATAACTTTACTGTGAAGATTATCCAAATTGTTTGCAAAATATACAGAAGTGTTTATTAAACACTCCATTTTAAAGAAAAGTTTCTATCTTCCGTCTATGAATTGGAGAACACAAAATGCCTGGCATACCTTCTTAGATACTAACAATAGATACTTTAATGCCCTCTGCTGGCCATCACATTGCTAATTTTTGTTAAATTGCTAGGATAGTGTATCTTTTAATTTTGGAAACACAATTTACTATAGCCAAAAGGAAAATAGTTTTAAGATTATCCTTAAAAGAACAATGTAGTCTTTCACTTGTAATTTTTAGGCTGATGATAAGCATGGCCTCCAGTAAGATATATGTGCCTGTCTCCACCCCTCTGAGCCTCTGACTGTCCTGTACTAGAAAGCAGTGACTTGCAATAACCGAGGTACTGAAGAATTCCACCTCATTTAAATAACAGCTGGTGTTGGAGACGAATTAAGGCAGTTTAGTTTCTCCTACTCAGAAAATAACGTAGCTGATAAGATTGTTCAATACAGATTTCTCTCTAGGCGACAGTCCTTTATCCTCTGGTAACTTTCTGATTCCTTTTATCCTCTTTTGCCTTTGCCTCAGAAAGGGAGAAAAATTAATTATTTTACATCCAAAGAAGTAGTTATTCAGTTTTCATGGGCCATTTCTTTTTACTGAAATGTGTAAGTAATAGGCATAGCCTAAGAGTTCTACGATTCTTCCTAGTGATTATCTTCTTTATGCAATGGTCATTCATCCTTTAAGCAATTTTTCAGAATTAGCTAATTTTCTTCCCTAAATGGAATCAAATATGTAGTACTCTCTTCAGACCTCTGCTGGTCTTATTCTCTAAAACATGACAACCCGCCTATGCTTGGCGATCTTCTCCCAAACTGCAAATGCCTGAACCCACTCTACAACATATACTAAACCAAAATCTCCAGGAGTTCTAAGTTGGGAACCAGAATACAAGGGTCTACGGCTCAAATGGATTTTTATTTGAAAGAAGAAAATGCTTGTGGCATATTTTTAAGATAGGAAAGAGATTGCTTTTGGGAGATCAGTTTTAGGACCAAGTGTCAAGGTTAACAATATGGAGCAATAGCAATGTCCAACAGTATTTTTCCTAAAGATAAACCTCAACAGAACAATCTTCTAAATAGTGGAGTGGTGATTTGAGCATCAAGAGGTATATATTGCAAGTGTGCCTAAAATTACTTGCTATTTAAATTTTTTTCATGTACTTAGCTGCAGGAATCCATGTGGGTTAATACCTTTCTTGGTTTTTATTTTCATTTTAAAGTTTAAAATAACATAATTTCTAGAAGAACTGTAAATATATCCTGTTTCATATTTTCTAAATATATTCCATACTAATGTGTAAACATACCAAGCAGTTTTTTTTAAAACCTACCCATTTACATCTGGCTTAATATTTTCCTTTTACATATAAAAAAGTATAAAGAGGTGTAGTACTTAAGTGAGTTTTCCAGAGGACTAATAAGCTAAAATCTTCTGAATGCTAAAGCTTTTTAAGTTTTTCCATGGAAATCTTTCTATCTTATTAAACACTATATGTAGTAATCTGATTTTAACTCTTAATGACACAGGTCATTGTGATGATACCTTAAGAAATCTAAGAGCACAGAGCTTTGCTTACATTTGTTGTCATGCCCCTAGTCATCTGCAGGTTAGTTAGCCTATCAAGTTAGTCTCCTTAATTTCTCTTTATTTTCACCTATCAGTGTTCTAGCTTTCCCTTTTCCCATTAAGCTTTTAATCTGAAGTTTGCCAACAGTGTGAGGAATTTGACTGCCTAGTTATTTTAATCAGCATTGGTCTCTATACTTTACAAGGCTGTATGCAGCTTTGAACTCAAAGACTGTGTGCTAGGTCTCTGACTGCGAGGCTTCTGCTTCGGGGCTCAGTGATCCCCTCTTCCCCCAATTTTGGTTTGTGTAAAAGACAAACCATCAGATTGGAAACAGTCCATCGCTTTAGTACCCTGTGCCACAGGGCTGTCGTTCTCAGACTTGAGCATGTATCAGAATCACCTGAAGAACTTGACAGATTGCTGGGCCCCAACCCGAGTTTCTGATTCTCGATGGGGCCCAAGAATTTACATTTTGAGTAAGTTCCCAGATGATCCTGATCAGATATAGGCAACTTTACTGTCGTTAATAATTTCCACCTTCCATTTCTGTATTTTGGAAATGTATCATCCAACAATCCTTCACATAATGTTGTAACATTCTATTCTTGTATATATTCTTATAACTTAATACCATCCTAGATATTGTAGCTATAGTATAATATATATAATATGTAATATTTTAAAGGCTACCTTTATGACCTCTTCTAAACTTAATTGTTTCCTAAAAGCCCCATCTCCAAATGCTATTACAGTAGAGGTTAGGGGTTTAACATGAATTTCAGGTTGACACAGTTCAGTCTGTAGCAACATCTTATAATCGTATTTTGTCACACACAAAAAAAACAAAGAATATTTTTTTACCTGTGCCAGGGCTTTGTTTCATATCTGTCTCTCTTAGGTCTACTGGCGTATTACTGACCAAGTCATCTTCAGCTGCATCTCCAGCAATGACTGTGTGAACATGGTAGGAGGCATGGTGGTTTGTTTCTTATTCACTTTCAGAACTGAGTTTTAAATTCTAATGTATTATTTTCCCTTTTAGAGTGAATCTAACACTAAAGACTGTGGTTGTTTGCTTTTCTGTAGTTTAGGTTCCCCACCCTTAAACATCTTTTAGTCTTGGGTCACTATAAATATCTGGTGTTGTAAGTCCCTAACTAGGTCTTCTGACATAACCGGTGGGGTCATCTTCAGCTGCACCTCCAGCAATGACTGTGTGAACATAATCATGCCACTGCTGTTGGGCTGTTTTATTGCTAGTCATTTTAGATTTTAATTTTAGTGGGGGAGATGTCTGGTTCCCCAGTAGGCCAGTTTCTTTCTTGTCAACCAGTAACACATGTTAGGACTTCTCTCCACTATTCCCAATCCTAACTCTATCATTTCCCTGTTTTTCCTAGATGCATACTCTTACTAGGACTGCATCATTTAAGGTGGACGTGAAGATCTAGAAACATCATGGGTAGTGCAGGCCTTTAAGAATGTCTTGTCCAGTCCCCCATTTTACAGAGTCAGGTCTAGAGAAGACGGTTTAAAGTTCCACAGAGTCTGAGTTAGAACTTGGATTTCCTGACTCCTGGTTTAGAACTCAGTTTATTTCATGCTGTAATGTCTTTGTGTTAATTGTATCTCAATCCTTTGGGTTAAACTCATTTTAAAGAACTTTCTGAAGGGTCCCAGAACTTAAACTTCAAAGGCTTTGTATTTTTGCAAGTTTTTCAGTGCCCTTTTTCTGCTTACTCACAATGTATCACACTTGATATGAAAACTTGCTTTAAGTTCTGCCATCTAGAGTTGCATTTTTTTCTTTATTAAAATTGGTCTCTTTAAACTTCTGGAAATCAATTTTATTTCCTTCTTTTGTGTAATTTTTGTACTATTCTCCATCTGGGGGAGATCAAATATATATGAAATCTGTTTTGTAATAAACTGAATAATTAGCTTGTTGAAAAGATTTTTAATGAAATCCATGTAACTTAGACTATATTCATGTTACTGGCTTTTTTTGTATGGTTACATAATGTTAAGATTACTTTTCTTTTTGCCTTCCTACCTGGCTGGTCCTCTTCTGCTTTCATGTGGGCATATCCTGTGGCTTGCTCTTCATCTTGGGATTTCTGTCCTTGTGATTTTTCTGTTTTATTGTGTCCCAGAATAGCATCCAGCTCGGTAAAAAATTTCATACTCCTGGTCATGCCTAGGTCTTGAGCCATTTTTACAGTCTTGTACTCATGTTTTAAGTTTTTGTACTTTGTCCTGCACTGCTTCCAATGTCTGTCGATTCCAAGTTTCTGAAGCTTGGCAGCAATTTGTTCAAATATCCTTTTATTTCTCACTGTTCTCTCTAGTTGTCGTTGTATGCCTCTGTCAGACCAGATGCCTATTAGAGCCCTGACTTCTGGCACAGTCCAGTGCTTTCCTCCTTCATTTGCTACAGTTGGAATAAAAGTTGGATTATTTGGGGGTTCCATTATTGGTGTAGAGTTACCTGGATCAGATGATAAGGGAGAGAGAGATATGTATATATATATGGGTTACTTACATCACACAAGATAAATAATGGGATGCAAGATTAGTAAAGAAAGTAATTTTCTCCATAGGAGATGGACTACAAATCATGGTTTAGTTTTTCTCTCAAACTATTTGGGAAATGGAAGTACAGAGCCTGAATCTATTCCTTATTATAACAGTGACTGGCTTTAATAAAGTTGTGTTTTTAATTAGTTACATTTTGATCATCTTTCTTCTCCATCATTTCTTTCTCTTCCATCCCACTCCTTCAGTATGTGGAGTGTCTGTCAGTATATGATCAAAGTTGAATATGTAATTTTGTAGTATTTACTTGTAGAAAGCAATAAAATTATGTAAGAAAATGGCTCATTGAAGACAATTTTTTTGTGATATGTGTGAGCAATTCATTTTCTTTGCATTCTTTTTCTTTATCTAATGGTTTCCATTTGCTACATATCAGAACCTCCTGGGGAGCTTTTATAAACTGCTGCCCTCACCCTTCATCCCCAGATTGTGATTCTAGCATGCAGTTCAGGGTTGAGAGCCAAGACTACTTGTGGGTAAAGGGCTTGGAAGAGGCACACTGATAATTGGTGCTTCTTACTCTGTGTGAAAATATTTTACTTTGTGAAAATAAAAGTTGTCTCACTGGTTAAAGATCTAATGCCATTTTAAGTGAAATATTATGTTCCTTTAATGCAAGGAAATGTGCCAGAAATTTCATGTCTTAGGCAGGATATCTCCACTTAGTTATAAATCCTTTAATATAACATAGTGCCTTTGTGTTTGATCTCTGGCACAGTTTTGCAACTCGTTTTATGGTAACATTATTTGATATTATATTGGTTATTTAACAGCCATATTATCTTGCTTTTCTCAGATTTCATGTTTAATAAAACGGTAGTTCAGACTTCATCTATAATGTAAGTCATTAAAAAACACTATAGCCTTTCCCTGAGGTAGGAAGTTGTTTTTATTTTGTGGTGTATTTAATATCTTTGTTTTGAGATGCTTTTCAATGTTTTTTCTTACTTGGATTAGCCTTCAATAAGAATTTAGAAGCAAGAAGGGTATTTACTTTGACTTTTCAGGTGAATAAAATCATCCTTGACCTCATTATAGATTTGATATTATTTGCTTTCAAATGTAAAATTCTGTTTGTCTTAGACCCCAGGAATGCTAAAGTCATGCTCATTAAATATTAAGCACCCACTATGTGTAATTTTGGCCATCAGATTCCTTAACTGTATTTAAGGAATAGACATTAGAAATTTGAAGGCTAATATTTCCAGGCAATTTACATTTTGTTAAAGAAATCATTTGTTTTAGAAATGATTTTTTGTATTTTTTATATAATTTTAAAGGTTACTTTCCATTTACAGTTATTACAAAATATTGGCTATATTCCCCATATTGTACAATACATCCCCCGCCCCTTTTTTTTTGCGGGGAGGGGTAGGGGAGAGGTGATCGGAGTTATTTAGTTAGTTAGTTAGTTAAGGTCTGGGGACTGAACCCAGGACCTCATGCATGCTAGACATGCACTCTACACTGAGCTATACCCTCCCCTTCTAGAAATGATTTTTTTTAGTATAGGTTGGTAAAAAAGAGGGAAACATAATTTAATCCTAAGTGTTTCTATCAGGAAAAAATCATCCATTTTCTCAGATTTGAAACCAGCTTTACTTTCCAGTTTGAAATTGGATCAATTTCATTATATTTTTGGCCCACCATACTATACCTACCCAGTTCCATTGGTCTGATATGAGAAACCAAAAGTAAAGGATTTTCTGATATGTCTTCTTTGTCTGCTAATGTAACTGACATTTTGCCTGGAAAGAGAGAAGTCATTTTAAAAATAAGTACCAAGGAAAATTAAAATTGGATTAGTAACTGATCATGCTAATACTTTGAGCTGAATTTGATCATACTCATGAAGGATTATGGATTTATGGTAAACATTTGGTAATAAAGTGATATAATACAGTTTAAATATTTATATATATGAAGAGAAATCAAATTTCTTCCCATTGACACTTTGAATTTCCACTAGAATTGTCTGTCAATTTTATAAGTTTCTAGAGATGATTGTAGTTAGTTTGAGGTATTTTCTTTATATTTGTATTTTAGGTGCTTTAACATAGCAAGCAGTATAAGTGATACTAGTAATGTGAAAAGAGAAATCCTGCAATGAGATCATCAGAAAATCTTGCTTTATTGGCATATATGGTCAAGTAGCTAAGAGTTTATATGTATCTTATGTAATTAGTTGATTGATACATACTAAACTTTACAAAAATTAATCTAACTTTTGACTAAATGGACCAAGGAACGTCATTTAAAAGAACCACACCAGCCTTGAAAAATGAAGACGTCCCTCCTTGATCTCCTGTATCATTTCCACATGTTTTTCTAATTTTGTTTTACTGAGTGGCAGAAATAGCATTATATTCTACATTAGGAGATCAAATGTTAGGTATGATTTCAAAGACATAAACATTCATTTAAAATCAAAGTAAAAATTGTTGAATTTTAAGTCAGGTTTCATAATTATTTGAGGCTAAATTGCAGTTCGGGAATGTTTTGGGTTTAGTTAGAAACATGGAAAATAAAAATCTGAAGTTAATTAAGAATTCTCTTTAGAGAGAAGAACGAAGGACACTGATATACCCAGGTAATTTAACACCCAAGCCTGATGATGAGAATAGTAAGGAAAGGTAGGGTTTGTTAGTCTGTTACCTGCTTTAGGGCCTACTTTTGTTTGTTGAGAAGGTTCTGGAGCTGAAAATACAGGTGTGGGCAAAAAAGAAAAGTTCTCTCTCCAGGGATTTTTGTTTTTTTCTGAAGTTGATCATTCCTAGCATGAATCTCAAAATTGTATGCAGGACCTCATGCCCTGGAGATTTTAAACTGAAACTCTGAAATCATTACTCCTAATGTGCATTTGTATAAAGTAACAGGAGGGAAATAGAGTGCAAGCTTGATCACTGAGGGAAGCGGCAGTAGGCCAACGGTATTCTGAGGTTGAGGGTGATTATAATTTCCAGAACATGAAGCCTGTTAGAGTTTGTATTTGAGTCCTTTGCCAAGACTCGGTCAGGCTACCTGCTGCCTAACAGGGGACCGGATTCTTTGTCCTTAGACACTTACATAAATTAGGTTGAGCCCAACAGTGGAAAAGGCACATTCATTTTCTTCCCTTCTTCATTTTACCATACACTATTGAACATTCTGCTGGTTCCACCACAGTAAAACCAGAAGACATTATAAATGAATCAGACCTGGAGAAAGGAGGGCTTTCTAAACCTTAGAAAATAAACTATTTGATTATGTTAAAACTGTTGACTTTTGTAGATCAAAGAAAAATCAGCCAAAATTGTAAGGCCAAAGAGGTCATGCAAGTTTTCTAAGACCTCAGCTGACATGAACAGTCAATTCATAAAACTGATTATATACGTAGAAAAATGTTCCACAGCACTAATAATTAAACAGATGCAAAGTAAAAAGTTATTGATTGCATATACCACTGTACATAGCTTGTACTTATTAAATTAGCATACTCCATTATTTATTAAATTAGCAAAGTGTCTCCTCCCTTCAACTTCACCCCGTAATATTGTATTACAGGGTTCTGTAAAAGGGGCACTGTTAATACAGTTTTTTTAAAGCAATTATTTTAGCAATATGTTTCAAAGTAATCATACCCCTCTTGACCAGAAATTTAACTTCTGATAGTCTATCCTAAAGTAATAATGTTAAATATGCTCAAAAGATATTGTAGCATCATTTCTATGAGGGGGCAAAGACCTAAACTCTTGTACATGCACTCAAAAACAATGGAACCATTAAGTAACTATTAATCCTAGATTATGATTAATTCTGGGTATAATTTAAAGATTATTTTTAATGTGACAAAATGCTAATGTTTTTGTAATTTTATAACTTAAAAAATTTTATAAACAACAACCAGTAGCATTGTAAAGGATATGTGGGAGGAGGTAAGAAGTTATCTTAATATTCCATGTAATAGGTGATGAAGTTTTGGATGGTGGTAATGAGAATGGAGCAGAGAGATAAATTTATTAAATATGTCAGTAGATTTTTTTTTTAAGGATTTCATGGTTGACCAAAAGTCAAGGATATCTCAAACATTTCTATTTTTTAACTGAGGGGAAATACAGTGATTGCATAAAATAATGTAGTTACTGTTTAATTTGATAATGACTGCAAAGCTTTCTCAGAATTTGGTGTAGTATCAGAAGTGTAAAGGGAGTATGTAAGTTTGGGTATATTTTTTACCAAAGAATTTATTATTGAGTTTTAAACAGGAAGTTCAGATAACCCAGGTTCTCTGTAATCCCTGTCACTTTTAACCCCCTTCTCATTTGGTACCTTGATTTTACCACTTTGTCTTGGGTTACATTTATCTACAGTTCCCTCCTTGCTGAGTTACATCGATGAACGCATGTAACTCAGGGCTTTGCACATGGTGTACACAGACAGTAGGTATTACAGATTTTGAACTGAACAACTCTGCTCTTAAAAACAGCAACTGTGATTACCACACAGAAATTATACCATAAGTTGTTTTTTTAAAAAAAGAAAGAAAACAAACCATAATTGAATGTAAAATACTGAACACGTAAGACCCTAATTTAGTTTTATTTTTGAATATGTGATACAAGCATTAAAGATGGTTTAACGCAAAAAAAAAGCAACTGTGAGATTTTGACCATGGGAGGAATGTCATTACTGCCTTTGATTTCCCCAACTTGCCTAGTGATGCATTCGGCTTC